GGTTTTGATTGAAGTTTTAAATAATTTATTAAAAACTAATGTTATTATTTATTTAAAATGACAACCATCATATATGCTACTTACTCCTCTTATATCATAATAATTTTTCTAATTCATATTATATAATGAGTTTGATAAATAATTTTATTAATTTCTAATTAATATTAATTGATAATATCTTTTTTTATCATAAATGTAAAATATGTAATCTATTTATGTAATATGAGTATCAAATCAAAACACTATAAATCGACACATAAGATTATGAAGTAGTGAAAGTTGACACGTAAGTTCAGAAAATTATGTATGTGGAATTCATTGGACAATCTATTTGATATAGTGGATCAGGCCCAAATAAGGCTCTTTGGTATCAAATCCCACATTTGTGGGCTTGGACAAGACGCTTCAAACTAGGACCACCCATTTTCTGCATCGCTTAAACCCTTTTCATCTGCATATTCAGCTCCCAACATCTAATTGGGAGCGAGAGGTTTTAGAGCTGTTCTCATCTAACCTCCGCCGGCGACAACCACCTTTGCCGCGACTTTTCCTTTGTTCGGAGACGAAGATGGCGGCGAAGGCAGTAAATGTTGGGCAAATAAATCCTGTAGAAGCTTTTGAACAGGTGAGAATAAAGCTTGTAACTGGTAATTTTGTTTGAATTTTGTTTTAATTTCAATGGATTCCCTTCGCAGGGAGCTTCTGAAGAAGATAAGATGAAAGTGAGGAAATATCTTAGAGGCAAAGCTACAGATTTAGGGGTAATGATTTTGATTTTCTTTTGTTGGGTGCTAATTTTTTCACATTCTGTCTTTTTTATTTCTTCTTTGGACTTGCGGCCGAGGGTTCTATTTATTTTATTTATTTATTTTTTGGCTGCAGAGGTTGCAAGATAAGAAATTGAGAGGTCAGCTAGCTGTGAAGGAAGCATTATATGGAAAATCTGCACTGACGGCTGCTAAGGCTGAGAAGGTATTCCCCTTTTATGCTGGGCTTGCCATATTTTTTAGCATTATCTATAGTATCAGATCGTTGTACTGCTACATCACTGAATTTTTGGTTGTATATTCCAGGGTTTCTTTTTGCACCAAGCGTTGTTTATATTTTCGGTTTGTTTTTGTAGTGGCTTATGCCAAGTGAAGGAGGCTATTTGGAAGCTGAGGGTATAGAGAAAACATGGAGGATTAAACAGGAGGCTATTGGTTCTGAAGTGGATATTTTGAGTAGGAGAAAACAGTTTGATATTATCTTGCCAGGTTCGGATCTGATTCTTAGTTTCGTCGTGAATTCTACTAATGACATAATATCACCACTGTAGTTCACATGTGTCCTAATAATTTACCAATTCATTTTCTTGGCTTACTATCTCATGAAAACTTTAGAGTGAGATACATAGCTCATTCAAACATGCTTGATGATGGGTTTGTATTTGATAACACCACAGAAGTTTGGTGTAATACCTCAAAACTTAGATTGAGATACTACATAGCTCAATCAAACATGCTTGATGATGAGTTTGTATTTGATAACGCCACAAAAGTTTGGTGTAATAGCTCAAAACATACTGCGTGTGCTAGAAGCAGTGCAAACAAGATCTGTTTGAACTGCTCCTCCAAAACATCAACGGTACTGTATGGATCTTTTGGTGTATATTGGTCATAGATATTTTCTTTATTTTTGGTGGCTTCTATTCATCACGTATTGCAATAATTAAGACCACGAATTATTGTGAATCTGATGTTGAATGTTATGGTTGTATATCTTCAACTTATGGAACTTAACACTAATTTCCAAACTTTCTCTCTTGTTGGTAACATTGAAAGTACCTATGTTTTCAGATCTCGGTCCGTACACTCTGGATTTCTCCTTGAGTGGACGATATATGGTAGCAGGTGGAAGAAAAGGTCATTTGGCTCTTCTAGACATGAAAAATATGGACCTCATTAAAGAGTTTCAGGTGCTCAAAACTTTTTAATCATGTGCAATCCGATGCATATATTTTTAATTTTCCCTTGGATTGTGATAAGAGGCTTTAACCCTAGCTAAGTCAGTCTTCTCCTTACAATGAATAAAGACTCGTGAGAATTTTGTGGCCTTCAGTTTTGGCCGTTAATAGTGAATTTCTGGAAAAATGTGCATTAAGTAGTAGTGTTATTTTAAAAAGTTAATGATAAAATTGGATTGAACTTATTGGCGGAGTTAAAAGTTTAAGAGAATAGTGTATTTCAAGATTACTTGAACTTTTACTGTCTGGGTGATGTCTATTTGAGTTGGTCCATCAAACGTATATGGCATATGCTGTTCATAGTTTTTTGTAAATAATGCAGGTTAGAGAAGATCTTTTCTTTTGGTTGCATGTTTGTGATTTTCTGAGAAGCTGCATTCTTGTCTAACTTTTTTTGCAGGTTAGGGAAACAGTTCGTGATGTGGTGTTTTTGCATGACCAGAAGCTTTTCGCTGCTGCTCAAAAGAAGTATTATTCTCTCTTCATTTGTTACAACTTACAACTTCATATTTTGGGCCATTTGTATTGATATTTGGTAAATTCGTTTCACTTTGACCACATAAGTTTTTGGGAAAGCTCTTTTCTTGTTGCTAATTGTTATTGATGGAATATGTAAAAATGGAAAAGGTTATTCTCCGGGCCTCCAATCTCAAAATTTGGGATCACTCTGAGAATAATTCATGTGATCTATATACAAGTAGCTCTAGTTGACTATTNTCACAGGATGGTCGTCTGATGCATCTCCATACTTGAAGGCTCAGTATATTCGGATTCCCAGTCCTATTCAGCTATATACTAGCTCTTATACAACATGCTTACACTGTTACTCCATATCACAATAATATCAAAAGCTTTAATTGAACTGCAGTTTGCAGATCTGTTTCATTGTATTACATGAAATCATAAATGTTATCCGTCAGAAGTCGCAACTCATGAAAATATATCGTAAATTTTAAAGCCACATTTTAACTGTGTATTTAATTGTGACAGGTATGTGTATATGTATAACGAGAGTGGCGTTGAGATGCACTGCATGAAGGTTAGCATTCTTGAACTTTGCTTATATCCTAATATGTGGTCATTTTGGGGTAATTCCACTTCCAGAGTTACAGTTTCTCTTGTCTAATTTCTTTGAATTTGTGTGGATGTCTTTTGCGTATTAAGTTAAAATATTTAATAGAATGTTCATTTTACTTTATTTCAGCTATCTTCCTAGAATTTGATTGTCTGACATTGGAACTTACCTTCTATGTTGCCTGGTCTTTTCTTTTCACTATGTGAGAGTGGCAGAGTT